CATGAAAACAAATTCCATCTTTAACAGAAGGCAAAATATATACAGTCAAGTAATACAAGAGGATTGTGTTTTGTTATGACAAGGTTTTTAACTCAATCCTATATATATATATATATATTTAAAAAAAGGGATAAAAAATGCTGCTTTAGTAAGAGACGAATCTCTCACTGAGGGTTTTTGCCATTCCCTTGCTCTGACCTGGAACCTGACAGCTCAGATAAACAAGGACAGCTTGTTACTGTGCTGCCTTAAAAAAGGTGAGGGACTCAAAGTGTGACTCTCAATATCACAGCTGGTCCACTGCTTCCTTCCCCAAGGAACTGCCTGTTCCTTGGGTATAGTCACCTATGCCAGACCATTTGACGCAGGAGACTACTCCCCCTTCTGCACTGGCTTTTCAGAGCTCTGTACTACAGGAGGAGTGATGTAAGCTTATAGCCTCACTTGGAGGTGTAAGCTAAAATTCCCAACCTGCTGTTCTCAAGAAATACAAGCAATTCAGGTAAGTGGCTACAGGTACTCCTTCTTCCCAGTTCCCATACAGGGACAGGCAGCCAGACTCAAAATGAGGCCCTGCATGAAGACTCAGTTCAGGAACTTGTCGTGGTTTAACCTCAGCCAGCAACTGAGCACCATCCAGCCTCTCGCTCACTCTTCCCCTCCAGTGGGATGGGGGAGAGAATCAGAAGAGTAAAAGTGAGAAAACTCATGGGTTGAGACAAGAACAGTTTAATAATTGAAATAAAATAAAATAATAATAACAACAACAATAATAATAAAAGAATATACAAAGCAAGTGGTGCATGATGCAATTGCTCACCACCCGCTGACCGATGCCCAGCCAGTCCCTGAGCAGCAGCCCCCCCGGCCAGCTCTCCCCCGGTTTCTATACTAGGCATGACGTCCCATGGTACGGAATGTCCCTCTGGCCGGTTTGGGTCAGCTGTCCTGGCCGTGCCCCCTCCCAGCTTCTTGTGCACCTCCAGCCTGCTCAGTCGGCAGAGCATGGGAAGCTGAAAAGTCCTTGATTAGTGTAAGCACTACTTAGCAACAACTAAAACATTGGTGTGTTATCAACATTATTCTCATGCTAAATCCAAAACACAGCACTGTACCAGCTACTAGGAAGGAAACTAACTCTATCCCAGCCGAAACCAGGACAGAACTATAAAGGGAAATTATATCATTTCCTACTCACATAGAAATATTTAGAAGTCTGCTCTGTCTGGACCGACACTGACTGAACAGATTCTTCCTATGTAGGAACACCTTCTACACTTGGAGGACAGTCTATATTCTTGCACCAACCTATGACACTACACTATATTGCCATACTAGCCCATATAATTTTAATATTCAAGATAGTAATCTTAAATAAAAGGGCGGGCCTGCTTTTATCACTATTCTGTAGTCTGAAGACTGAGATAGAGAAAGATTGGGGAAAGAGCTACAATGATATCTAAGAATCTAATGCTCATGAAAAATCAGTCAGAACTAGACTTCCTTATATGTCTTTGAATAAGGGACCAACCAGCTTGCCTAAGACAATACAGTTCCTGTTCTGCAGTAAAGAATCAGATCTGTGATTCCTATGGATTACAGAAATGTTTTAACCACAGCATTATCCTTATTTGGGGCAGGATAATGAGCTACATTGCCTTTTGAGTTCCCTTCCAGACAGATTATTTTTTTCTTTATCATTTTTACTTTTAAACTTCATCATCATAGTCCCACCTGGTTCTCATGTCATGGAAAATTAGTCTTACTTAGTTTGGGCTATTCTGCATGAAACAGAAGGCAACTTCTACTGTCTTCTTTCATCAAAATAAAAAAGACTGTGAAAGTTCAAATTCAATACTGATTTCAAATATCCTGAGGAGCAGAGCAGCTCAAGGAAATATTCCCACTTGACTCTGTTTGAAGTATACATTGTCTGATCAATTTAATTTGCCAGGCAGATTTCTGCACTCAGACACCCTGTTTTAGATCCCAGGTTGAAAATTAGGGCTATGGTAGACACTCACCCACATCCCCACACTCCAGACCTGTCAAGCTCCAATCAGCTAATGCAAAGCACTAAAATCTGGAAATAGGAGTGGAAATTAAAAGAAAAATGTATTTGTGGTGAGGATAAAAATAAAGATAGAATGCCACGACAGGCATGGAAAAAAAAGTGAATAAGTGGAGTGTTTAATGAATGTAGAAATATTGATTTTGGAATAAACAGATTCCCTCCTCCTCCTACACATGAAATAAGTGTTATTTTGAGCAGTAATAGGCAATCTTCCATGTAACGTGACATGCCTGGTGGAGGTTTTCAACACTTCCAGATAGAATGGAAATATTAAGAACAATCCTACGTATTTACATGTATTTGTTCCCCGAGGAGGTAAAAAGAAAGCAGATGTTACCCAGCGGAATGTATTGCAAGCTGTCTGGGGGAACTGATCACAGGGCACAAGGCTGGCCTCAACGTTTTCGGATGGGGTAGTAGAACTGGTTCTCCTGTGTTTGTGTAGCTGGTCTTTATGAAGACAAAACATGTTTTACCATTCTCATGCTCTGCTCTGCTGTGACAGCATCCATATTCAGCATGACAAATATTCCCCATGCTAGCAAACAGTCTGCATCTTTTCAAGCTAGCACCACAATGAAGGACAGTGGGCTCCAGCTCCAGGTTTTATTAACTTTAAATGTCAAACACTGGCAATACCTCCATTATTCCTCAATTTAATGGGTTCTCTGTACTGTAAGGCTTTAAGCAAGGATCATAGCTATAAGAAAGGATCAGATAAACACAAAAGCTGTGGCTCAGTATCTATTAGAAACAGACCAGCAACACAAAAAACAGTCAAAAAGTTTCTTTACATTAGTGAAGTCCTATTCAAGGAAAAAAAGATTGAAGACTAGTTATCCGGAGAACAATCACCGTACTAGGAGAAATTCATCTCAGCATGATATTTGTTCAATGTTACTCTCTGGTTAGTCATCTCCAGGGATGATAAGGGAGATCAGAGCCCATGTGGCTCAATCTATCTTTAATTTTTCTGCTGAAGGTCTGGGTGTGAATCCTATTTATGATCTGCTCACTTGTGGAATGGGGCTGAGACCACCAATACATTTCACAGGGGCCAATGAACAGCTGTTGGATGGGAATGGCACCAGTTTCAAGCTAAGTCTTTTAGCATCAAATGTATAGAGTATCTTGGATTATCAGTCCCTTGTTTTTTGCATACACAGTATTGGGACCGTAATTTATCTGCTCTGAAAGTCTAGGAAATTCATAATCACAGGAAGAAACTGCACCTTGATTTTGCATGACTGGTGGATAGGCAGGCACTATGAAGAGGAAGGCTGAGAGATAAGTAGGTGAAGTAGGAACAGAATACAGTACATCATTGTCACTGTCTTTCTGGTGGGTAAGTCAAATTAAAAGGCAGCTCTAGGAGAATAGAAACAGGTCTGTGCTGCTGTCTGACAACTCCAAACACTCCAGGTTTTTTTAATTAATAGAATCAGGATTCTGACTCTGGAGCATCTCTCTGAAAGAATGGCATGGTAAAAAGAGCAACACAGAACAGAGCAAACATACGGTTTCTAAACTGTCAAGGATTTAGTAGGTGACCTACAGTGGAGCAAGTGGGTGACTGACAGATCACTTCTGCCTGCCTTGATTTCCCCATTTGTAAAACGCAAAGTGTGCCGAGCTGCACTTTGCAAAGATAGCTGCTCTATCTTTGCAACATGTGCTTTGAGACCGACATACAAAACGTGCCAGATGAGAAACTGAAGAGCTGAGGGTCCCCTGGGCTCGGATTTCAAGGCCTCAATAGCACAGCAGTGGGAAGAATGTTGCAACAACTGAACAAGCCTATTAATATTCCTGCCTGAGTGTATTAATCATGCCATTGTGAAGAAAACAACACTTCACTTTAGAAGAGAAGCCACAGGCTTGTCGCATATCACTCATTTGTCTTA